ATATGGCCATCTGCCTTAGCTTCTTGGACATGTTTAATGTTTATCTGTGGCCCTAATAATTATGTGTTTTGGTAATTTTTTATGTTTTCTGATTACCTCCAGGAAGATGTGATCAGGATGTGGTCTTCCCTTTTCACTCTCCTTATTGCTTAACTCGTAGTAACATTTTTGGGCCTCAGTTGGGCCTGGGCCTCGGCGGCGGACCGTTTCGGCCTTAGGCGGGTGGGTTGAGCCTAGGGCAGGTGGTTTGGGGGCCTGTGCATCAGCGACTGGGCTGCAGGAGGGTTTGGGCCTCGGGCTGGTGGTTTGGGCCTCGGGCTGGTGGTTTTGGCCTCAGCGGGCCTGGTATCAGCAGATGGTCATCGGGCGGGTTGGGCTTCAGCGAGCGGGTTGGGCAGATTGGGCCTCGGGGGCCTGCGCCTCAAGGACTGGGCTGAGGGCGGGTTGGGTCTCAGGGGACCTGGGCCTCAGTGACCTGGCTACGTGGTGGGTTGGGCTTTGGGGGCCCTGGGCCTCGGTGGTGACCGGGCTGTTGACCGCCTGGGACGTGAGGCAGTTATGCGATTTGGGCCTTGGTTGGGCCTGGGCCTTTGTGACCAGTCTGTGGGTGGGTTGGGCCTCAGGGCAGGCCTTTGCCTCAGTGAGAGTTTCTTGGGAGGTCCTTGGCGTCAGTTGTCGGGCCTGTACCTTGGGCGTTCCTGAGCCTCGGCAGCTTGGCAGAGGGCTGGTCTAGGCTGGGGCAGCAGAGAGCTGGGAGTCTTGGCTGCAGGGAGTTAGTGTCCATATCTGATGACATAAAAAATGCCTCTCTCAGTCTCTCTGTACCATGGGTACCCCGAATTTCCTGATATCCTCACCGATATCCCTCTCTATTTGTTCAGCTTTGTTAGTTTATGCTTCCTTTTCTCTGGAAATGCAGCCTTCTATGTGGGGTTGCTCTAGCCCTGCATTCCAAGGTGTGCAGGGGGCAGAGGCACTTGCTGGTGCGGGTACAGAAGCGGGAGCCATGTGCAGGCAGGCAAAAGCTCAAAATGCCTGTTATTCCTCAGCAATTTGATCTTTCAAAAAAACGAGTTCAGAATGTTGAAATATAAGATCTTATGTTTGTTCAAAAGCTGTCTGTCTGCTAGACAGATGTTTCTTATGTGCGATTCTGCCCCTTTTCCCCGAGACTGCCCTACCTGAGCTGCCTGGTCAGGGAAGCGCCGGGAGTCTCTCTCCCCATCTTCTTTTGATGACTCCTGTGCTGTTCAATATTTTGCCCACAGAATCCTTCAATATTGCAACTTGAGGGGTGCAGTCTCATTGATAGATGCCTTTTAAAATGATGGGCATACTTGATCAAAAGCCTTTGCATACAGGAAAGGTAGGTGAAATATACACCAATTACCAGTCCATAGAATTGCCTGCAGTTGTTCCTTTTGGAGGTCACATGCATTTTTTAAAAGTTTTTATTATGAATTGAGTGAAAATTTACAGGGCAGAGCATCAGTTTTACAGTCAAAAAATCATATACTTTGTTTCATTACAATTTCTTCCATGTAACATTAGTTAACAGTACTTCTCTCTATTCATTTTATCTCTCTCTCTCTTTTTTAAAACATATAATAATTTACACCATCAAAGGGCACATTCTGCAAGTCTGCCTCCTGGCTTCCAGCTCTCAGTCCCTTTCTTTCCATAAATCTAGAGTCCTCAGCTGCTCCCTCTCTCCATGTCCCCATCTCTGACTCCATTTCTGGTGTC